ATACAATCTAATAGAATATATAGAATTACTGTTACAGTTTTTATTTTTTATTGTGCGTTTAAAAACGCTAATAATTTGATATTTTTATTAACTTATTATTAAATACTTAATATGATATTACTTTTAAAAGTTTTTAAAAAGAAATGTCAAAAAAACTTTTATTTTATTTTTAGCTTCTTTAAATTTAATTTCTTCAAGTTTGTACTTTTTTTTTTTTTTTGTAAATAAATTTTTTTTATAAATAAATTTAGCCAACTAAATTGAGAAAAATTCATTATTTAATATCAATGGATAACAATTGAAGATCTTGGAATGAAAACCTCAAATGTCACAAACGATTTTTTTTTTTAACATCTTCACTTCCAACAAGGCTGCAAGCAACCACTATAAGAGTTGGAAGTTACTGGAAGAGAAAAGAATAAATCTGTAGAGCAAGATAACGATTGACTGATGACTTAAAAGATTGCAAATTATATGAATCAGGAAAGCAAGATGAAGGAAGCGAATTCCAAAGAACTGATCTTCGAGGAAAAGAACTAGAAGAATAAGAGTTTTTGAAGCACTTAGGAACAGTCACAGAAAAAGGATGAGACTTAATTGAAAGGCGAGTAACACGAGAATGAATTTTAGTAGATGGCACAAGGGACGCTAGCTCTTTAGAGCAGTGTCCATTATTGTATTGGAAGAAAAGAGAAAGAGAAGCAACATCACGACGATGTGACAAAGGTTGGAGATTGGCTGCCAGAGCATGTCCAACTATGTTTACAATGCGTTTTTGCACCTTGTCTAAAAGAGAAAGAGCATCATTAGAAGATCCGCCCCAGATGTGGCAACAGTATTCCATACAGGGACGGATTTGAGATTTATAGAGATAGAGAATAGAATCTGGAGTAAGAAAGTGTCGAGCTCGATAAAGAGATGCAACCTTAGCAGATGCTAATTTTACAATGGATTTGATATACGGTTTAAAAGAAAGATCAGAAGTAAGAGTTAATCCTAGAAAATGAATGGTAGATGACTCATCTAGTACATTACCATTCATAAATATAGGAAGATCAAAATTATTACGATAACGATTGGCCGAATAAAACTGAGTTTTATCTGAATTAAAGTTCACCAGCCACTGTGAGCCCCATGCTGTAGCAGAAGTGAGATCCTTTTCAAGCTCAAATACCCCCTCCAGGCAACCAGAGAGTGTAGGCTTCTTATCATGATAAGAGTAAATGGTAGTGTCGTCAGCGAAAAATACCACCTTAGATGTGAGAATATCTGGAAGATCGTTAATGTAAATTAAAAAGAGTATAGGGCCAAGGATTGAACCTTGAGGAACCCCTGAAGTTACAGGATGTGAAGAAGAGTGTTGTCCATCGAGGACAACTTTTATACTACGATTGGAAAGAAAGGACTCAATAATCTTAAAGATGTTACCAGATACACCATAAGAAGAAAGCTTATGGAGAAGACCAGCATGCCAAACTTTATCAAAAGCTTTAGAAATGTCAAGTGCGATAGCCTTAACCTCTCCACCTCTATCTAATGCACGGTAAAACCTATCGGTTATTACTGTTAGCACATCAGCTGTAGAACGAGAAGACCGAAATCCATATTGATGATCAGAAAGTAAGTTATTTGATTCAAGATAAGAGATTAAGTGTTTGTTGATTAAAGATTCAAAAACCTTGCTTATGACAGGAAGAAGACTAATGGGACGGTAGTTAGATGAATCAGATCGCTCTCCGGAATTTTTGAAAATAGGGATAACAGATGCTGCTTTCCAGCATGATGGAAAACAAGACTCTGATAAGCACTTGTCAAATAGTTTTGAAAGTATGGATGAAAGCTACGGAGAACACTTCTGCAAGACTTCAACAGGAATGTTGTCAGGGCCACAAGCTGTTGAAGAGTCTAAGCAGGAAATTACTTTTGATACAGAAGCTGAAGTGATGCGAATGTCAAGCAAGGGATCAACCTGTTTGACGGCTATGTCAGGTAGAACGCAACTAGTGGAATCAAGAGATGATATTGATGAAAAGTTCTTAGCAAACAATTCAGCTTTGTCTTTAGGTGAGGTGACAAAGTCTGAACCATACAAGAGAGAAGGAATAACAGATTTGCCCTTATTATTGATACTGTTAAAGATTCTCCAGAAGTCTCGAGAGCCTAATTTTTGTGATGAGATACGAGATTTTATGACCTGAGAATAGCGAACTTTGGCGTCAGACAAAACTTTTTTACAATGGTTTCTGGCGATAGTGAACAGATGTCTGTTTTCTGGAGAATTGTTTTGCTGATAGATATGGAAGTAACGGTTTTGATTACAAATTGCTGCAGCGCAATGTGAGGAAAACCAAGGAGAAGAGTGAGGCTTGACCTGGAATCGTCGAGAGGGAATAAAAGATTCCATGCCAGCCCGAATCCACGAAGTTATGTAAGAAGCACATTTGTCAGCAGGAAGACGAAAGATTTTTAGCCAAGGGCCATCACGAAGAAAATCACGGAAAGAGTCTCAGTCAGCTTTAAGGTAGTTGTATGTGGTACGATGATAGGGGGATTCTGATGAAGAAGGAGAATTTGATAATAGTTTTAGAGAGATCAAACCGTGATCAGAAGCACCTAAGGGTGTATGTGGAGAAATTGAGCACTGACTAGGATCCAAAACAAGACATAAGCCGAGTAGAGAAGGTAAATGATTAGGGTTGTCTGGAAAACGAGTTGGAAAGTTGACTATTTGAGTTAGAGATTGAGAAAGGCAAAAGTTAAGGGTCTTAACGCCAGCAGAGTCACTGACACTAGAGCCAATCCAATCGGTGTGATGGGCATTAAAGTCACCAACAACGACGATATTGGCCGATGGATAAACAGAGAGGGCTTGGTCAATTTGATCAGAAATAACATCGAGAATAGTGCAATCTTGGGATGAAGGAGAGCAATATAGAACAAAGAGAAAGGCGATAGAGTGAAGTGGTGCTAAACGAAAGCACATAAAAGAATAATCTGTAGATTCAAACCTAGTTTCACGACAAATAGGTGAGTTCTTACAAATGTAGATGCCCAGGCCAAGCATGTGATTATTGGAGTCTTCACGAATTAAAGGAAGATAACCATCAACACTAAGATCACAAGATGGGACAGCCGAACTCAAATTAGTCTCACAAAGAGCAAGTAGGTCTGGTGAACTTTGCAAGAGATAAGACTCTACAGAAGAAAATTTACTTCGAAGACCACGAATATTAGTAAATGATAGGTTTAGAGAACTTGGTGATGACGATGGTTTTTTGTGTTTTTTAGTTTTAGGTACTTTAGTCATTTTAAATTTATAAAGAGCTTGACTTAAGTATAGATAGTACTCAGTACACTATTTAACAACTAAGCAATAGACTCATTACTATTAATAAACCCTAAGCCGTAACAAAGGGCTCCAAATGTGGCCTCTACAATGCACACCAAAAGTACGAACAGGGACACCATCCATGCGCAACATGGCACTGTTAGTACTCTGATATTTTTCGGATGTTGATGGAATCAGCCTCTCTGAGAGCTACCACAGAGTTCGGGAAACCTGACTACCAGCCGGCCTCAGAACCATAAAACTGAGTTTTAGAGCTGTACCCTCATTAGGAGTTAACAGAATGAGTTGCCTAGTCATAAAAATAGAGACAAGCAATACCCACGAATTGAGTCAAGAAGATCCAGCGTTCAACATCCTAAACTGGAAACAATGTATTAAAAATACATCTGCGCCAGCCTAATAGATGAGGAAGGGGTGCGAGACTGGTCAACAGATAAAATCTGTTTACCCCTTAATTCTTTGCCTAGGAGGCCTTCTACAAGACAGTAGCCGGATGCCTTTAACATCTGCCCAAGATGAGTATTTTTATTGAGACACCATCTCTAGCCTTTACTCAACCAAGAGCCCCAAGACAGGGGGTGTTTTAATTCGGAGTTAACTTCTCCTAGCTCTTGCTTAAAAAAGCGTATCCTACAAGGCAGCAGGACATAAAGCAGGTTGTACTGGGTTACATGTTACCAGTAGCAGGAAAACCTGACCTGACAAAAAAGACCTGACAAAAGTTCATCATTAAAATAAAGTGGAATTAAATATGATTTAATAAATTCTGAAATATCCATACTAGGATGGCGATAAATACAGCCAATAATGTTTGATTTTTTAGGAATTATGATTTCCACAAACAAATTCTAAAAACTTTTGTTTAAGCATATTAAGATCATATCGAGGTTTGTAAATTAAAGTAAGGCTCCTCCAAAATAAGATTTTGTCGGAGTGTGCTCATAAACATAACTGGTAAGATTTAATGGGATAGTTGGTAAAATGTCATTTTTTAGTTTAGTTTCAGTTATGCCAATAATACTGAATTCATGGTTTTGCCTAACCAAATTATATTAATTTACGATGAGATTTGTAAATTTTATTGATATGGTTTAAAAAAAAAAAAAATTAAAAAAAAAACGTAAACGTTCATTAAAAAACATCAATTTGACACGCTCTGGGCTTGTCGCAAAAACCAAAAGCTCTCCTAAAAAGCTGTTTAGAAAGGCAGCACGCATAGCTCTCCGTGTTCGTTTTAGGAGAGCTTTTCGCTGCTTTCGCACTCATTTCTTCCCGCCGAGGCCTGTAAATATATATATATATATATATATATATATATATATATATATATATATATATATATATATATATATATATATATATATATATATATATATATATATATATATATATATATATATATAGAATTTAAATAAAGTTTTAATAAACAAAAAGCTGAATTTTACATTTTTATTTTTTATTTTGTACTTATATTTAAAATAATTTAAACTTTTTAAAGTATTTTAAGAACTCTTATTTTGAAAATAAAACAAAAAAAGAATTAAAAAAAGAAGTTTTTTGTGTCAAAATTTGATATATATATATATATATATATATATATATATATATATATATATATATATATATATATATATATATATATATATATATATATATATAAAATAAATGTAAACTTTATTAACTATTCATAGTCAAACATCGCAAAATAATGTAATGATCTCAATATACTCTCAACCTCACTTTTTTTAACTTCTTCGTTGGGATTGAGCCCACTGCTACGGCCACTTTTTTTTAAGAGAACATTGATGGAATGTTTGCCGTAGTATTCTAGTGTTGGTATTAAATTAAAGTCTTTATCTTCACTTAAAGAAAAAAACATAAAGTGATGCCCAGTTGACAACATGCCTTTAACGCTGTGATGGACATGTTGAGGATGCATTCCATCATGAGTTCTCTTTCTAGATGGTATAACATGTAAAGCATCTAGCATTTGAGCTATTAGCTGCGACAAAGCTTTTGGCAAATCTTTGATGTCTATATCTATTTTTGCTTCCAAAATAGTTGGATTTAACTCACATTCAATTTCCTCCAAATCATCTGTTTGGGGGTTTTCACATGTTTTATCAAATAATAATGTTATCAATGGTTGAGTTCTCCCAAGTAAAACATAATCTATGGGTCCGTTTCCAATTCTTTTTATGAAGTTAGATTCGTCTAACAAATTATATTCAGTGTTTAGTGAAAAAGTAAACTTATCACTAGATTGTAGTGCGGGTAATAATAAAATATTTATTATTAGTCTTCGAACAGATTCCGAATAACAATTATCAGGTTGTAATAACCTCCTAAGATAATTTAAGTTTGTTAAGGTAACTTCAATTTTTTTTTCAAAATCTTCTATAGCAATATTTTCTTTTAGTTTTTCAGATAACATATTCGATGAAAACTTTCCATTCCAGATATCTATATATCTTGTAGCCTGATTGGAAAGTTCACCTGCCCATTTAATTTCCAACTCAACATCATCCATATTAAAACTGGAGTATCCTTTTGCTTTTCGAAGAAGAATAGAAAAACACATTTGTTTAAAAACATTGTCGTTTGTTAAATCGTATAATTTAAAACTAAAGTCTACAAGAAATGGCTGAATACATATTTTATCACATTTACTCGAATGCGCATAGGCGTCAATTATATTTTGAAGTTTTCTATTAAAATCTTCGTCAATACCAGAATCGGATTGAAAAAATAAATCGTTAAATTTTTTAGCTGGAAAATATTTTCTGCTAGGGTCGGTGGAAACCAGTACAAAAAAATTAATGCATAAACTAATTTTGCAATTAGTTATCAATAGTGCTTTTTTGTAGTCGCTTTCTTCATATATGGGAAACCAGATTTTATTAAAATACATAATTGAAATCTTTTCAAAATTTTCTTCAAAAACGTGTTTTGTAATGTTAAACATTTTCATTAGTTTTAACGTAAATAAGTCAAATGTTGAACTAAAATTATCTTCAATTAAACTTGTTGGTGAAAGATAAATTACACAGCTTGCCATCTTAACGTGAAAACTATTTTTGAAAAAAAAAACATTAACTTAAATCAGTTAAACATTTATAATGACATAAATATTATCAAATTTATATATTTTCATAATAATATAACTTTATTTATGAGAAAACTTAGTCATAGACTGTTTGATATTTTTTTTAAGGCAATTTTCAGCAAGTCGTTAGTTAAAAATCAGTTTAAACAGTTATCTAAGGTGCCTAATAAAATATTTGGTGGGAATAAAAGTGTAATAATGAAAATAATATAAAAGAGAGGAGCGTGGAGGGTTTTAAAAAAAAGAAGTCTATTTGGGTTTAAAAAGAAGTAAAATTTCATAGAAATTTTATAAAAAATGGTCATTTTTAATATAGTTTTTTATAAAACATATTAATCAAAATTGTATGAAAAATTGCACTTTAAGAATTTTGTTTAAAAATGTTAGTTTCATTACATTAATTTAAAAAAAATCAACTTTAAATTAAAATAAAAGTTTTCTTTGAAAGTTTGCCTTTCTTAAAATTCAACTTAATACACTTTATGGGAAAAAAAATTATGACAGAAAATGAAACCCACTATATTATCTTTAAAGATTATATTTTATTTTTTGTGGGGGACGTTTTTTGAGTAACGCTTTGGAGGGTATTATCTTAATTCTTTCTCCTCTTGAGTTGGTAAATTGTTGAAAACTTTTTTAAAAAATGGCACGGTGGATATTATTTCCATCTTTTTTGTAGTGGATTGTTTTCAACAATTGGCCAACGTTCCCCATATGCAATGGGGAACGCCAACCAGTTTTATTAACATGTTTAGAGTATAAGCGTTTTTATTTTTAAACCACTAACTTTTACATACAGTTAAAACTATATATAAAATTCATAAAACATATAATTTCTCTGGCACAGAAACTTACAAATATTTGCTAATTCTATTTTTAATTTTTAAAAACATGAAATAGTACTTATTAAATATATGTGAACTCTGCAAATTTTAGATTTTTAGTTAAGATGTAGTTACTAACTAATATCTAGACAAGAGCAAAAAAGAAATTTCTAGTCAGATAAGTTAGGTGCAAAGGATAGAGATTAAGAAAATAGAGAGAAAGAAAAAGAGATTAAATAAAGTTTACAGCGGTGCTGAAACTAAAAACAAAACTTTATAAAAATGTTATATATTTTTTGGATTATACAAAAAAGTTTAAAACAAAAATAGTATAAAACACTATTTATATTTTTTGTCTTAGTTTAAATTATATAAAGAAACTTTTTTGACATATCTTGTAACAAAGAATAACATACCATATGAATTACTTATGAATAACCTATCATTTGACCTGCCATGAAATATAATTGAAATCAAACTACCATAAAATGCCAATAAATAACATACCAAAGCAGTAGTAGAGTTTTTCAGTGCTTTATATAAACTTGCAGATTTTGTGTGACTGTACTCTGCCTTTACCAGATGGCAGCACAATTCAAGTACTCAAAATCCAGTAAATCAATATCATCTTAGAAAATTGCCATAACAAAACTAGTGCTGGCTATCAGTAGTGCGATAGTCCTTAATTCTTTGATTAAGACATTACTATGCTAACACCATAGCACTGTTTAAGAGCACTGTTTAAGCACTATTACTCAGCAACAAATAATAAATTTTTGAAAGGGAAGTAATTGCAAATCGTGTTTTGTTAAATGATGTTTTGTTTATATAAATAACTAGTTTTCATATAATGAAGAAAACCATAAAAAAGAAAAAATAATAATGTTTAATGAAGTGCATAAAACAAAACAAAAAAAAGAAAACTAAAAAAAATGTAAATAAAATTACTTTTAAATAACAGACTCTTTATTTTAGTAGCAATATTATAAGTAACAATTTTATAAGAAGTTACAAACCTGATTGAATTAACAAAAAAACTAGTTTTGTTAGAAAAAAAATATGTTAAAGATTTAAGTAAAACATATCACAAAACTCACCACTAAACATTACTGACTCCATTTTTACATAAATATACTCACCAAAAAACCAAACAAATTAGATAACAAAAATGTAAATTACAAATTAAATAAGAAACGCACCCTACAAAGCTAACAAAATAACAACAACAAAAAAAAAGATATCCTTGCGGCGAACGTGACGTCACTTTAACTAACTAAACGGCTACCATTATGGTATGGGGGCAAACAAAGCGCTTGAAAATAGAGAAATGTGTTTTTGATTGTTCAATTAATGTTAATAGTCATCCGAACTTGATTTTTTATATTTTGCTTCCTGATCCAAAGAGAAGAAAATCGTGGTTTTATGCTTTATATAGAATTGATTCATCTTGCAAACAAACTTTGGTCGCAAAACATGTCTAAGTTTGCTCAAAACATTTTGTATTTGGTAAGTTTTGTATTTAAATCGTCAAAATATTTGAGCACAAATTTTTCTTAAACTTATCAAGTTTTTTTCGTCTATATATTTTTATTCATTGTAAGTATGTTTCTCTTTTAGGAAAAAAAAGAACATAGTCTAGATGCTTTTCAAAATTTTGAAAAGCATGTTGACTATATTCCATCAGTAAATATGTTAGGTGTTAAAAAAATATATATAGTGAAATCATCCCTCCAACATAACCAATTGTTATGTTAAATGAAAGGAGAATAAATAGATTAAACAATTCACTTAGTATATACTATATAATATTGGTATGTACTGTATAAACAACACGATAAACTATATAATATAGTTTATCTTGTTGTTTAAAATGTTTTTGTAAAAACTGTTTATATTTACAATTTATTTTTGTTATACATTGATGCATAACAAAAATAAATTGTATATATAAATATTATTCCATTAAAACTAAGCATTTATAAATCATGTATTATTGTTTTTATTTTTAAATTAATTAATGTTCAATAGTTTGTTGAGCACAAATTTTGTATTTACTATATACCTCAAACATGCTAATATTTTTTTAGAATATTATGTACAAAAAAGTCATTGCAATAAATCTCAAGTTATTCAAGTCAGTGAACAAATAAGTACTGATAAATAATGCAGAATTAGCTAGGTAAGTGATTATGTGTATGTTGGCTCACTCATAAGTCAATATATATGTGTTTATGTTCTGTGTCGACCTCTGGTGTCATGTTGGCTCACCCTTTAGACATTATGTGTGTTTGTGTTTCAACCTCTAGTGCGGTGTTGATTCACTTGTAAGTCATGTGTATAATTTTATTTTGTTTTATTGTGTTATTATTGTGATGTTATTGTTGTGATGTTTTGTGTTGATAGACAACTTTGCTTACCTTCTCGTCGGTGTCTCTTGCTACAAATGATTATTAGATAGTTTTTTTACTTAAACTCGTCACTTCTAATCATTTACTAATAGGCAAGAAACATGTTTTAAAGTAAAACATACTTTTAATGTTGTCATTTTTAATCTTTAGGATTGTTCTTAGGTCACAAAACAATCTTACAAAGTAAGTTTCTTCTTTATTATTTAGTTATATTTTTAAAAATTTTTATTTAATTAATGTCTTATGTATCATGTTAACATGAAAAGTAAAAATTTTTAAATTTTTATTTTTCATGTTAACATGATACATAAGACATTAATTTCTAAATGCTTTCAGCACAAATTGGTTCCATTTTTTTTTCAGTAGAGTTTCTGCTGCTGTCACTGGTTTTAGAGAGTACCTTCGTGAATAAAGATAAAAAGTCATTTATGTTATTTTTTAAAAGCCAAGACATAATATTGTTAATCCTCATACCATTTACTAAAAAACTTTATAAATATTGTTACGATGTTATAATTCAAATTGTTGTAATTAGTAATTTTGATCATTTCATTATTATACTGTAAAAAATATTTTTTATTTATAACATTTATTTCACATATATTAAAAACATGAGGAATAAATATTACACTGAGGAAAATTTTAAGCAAAATATAGAATTTTTAAATGTTATTAGAATATCAATATGTAATATTTTTGTTTTTATTATTGACTACATCTGTAAACTGGCAATAATTTCAAAAAGATGAATTAACTGAATTCCATGATTCCTTAAAGCATTTGCACAGATTTATTTCAATATAACGCTAAATTTTGTTCTGGTAACGTTCAGCAGCTTATTTAGATAACTTTTCTTGATAATCATAAGACATTTTCAAGGCGTTTAAGTAATGTTGTACTGAAATAGCGCGTTTGTTTGCCCCCATATCTTAATGGTAGATATTTTTGTTTTTCATTACGCAATGATCACGTGGTTTTTTCGCCGCAAGAATA